TGCCGCCGACGCCGCCGCCCGCCCCTGCTCCCGTTCCCGCCCCGCCCCGCCTGGGGCGGCCTGGGCGCCTTCCGCAGCGCTGCGTCCCACTCGCGACTCCTTGTGTCCCTCCCCGCGCTGAGACCCGCAGGGGACGGGGCCCAGGGCTCCCCACTTGTCCTAGGCAGCGGCAGGGGGCTCTCCAAAGAGACCAGGAGCAATGTATTCCCAATGGGTTCAATATATCCCCCTGATTTCGGGCAGGCTGCAGCACACAGCAAGGTCACACCAGCTGCTCCGTCTCTCCTTTCCGCCTCCAGGGATCACTGGAAGAGTTGTTGGCAGTTTGGGAGCCCTGTGACACCCCAGCTTCTCAACCTCCCCCCGCTGTTTTCTACTGCTTTGCTCCCAGCCTCGTGAGGAGAAGGCTCCAAGTCAGCTCCATGAAGAGGCGCCAGGTTGGAAATGGGGGGCCCCTGCATGATCTATTGATACAAAACCTGACACCTTTATGAGGTGGGGGTAACATGGGGTACTCTCTTAGTTTCATGTACTAAATATTTATAGACGTTAGGCCTGGAAGGGACCTCGAAGATCATAGAGTCCAGCCCCCTGCCCCAGGGGCAGGAAGTCAGCTATGGTCCAAGGCTCCCAGCAAGATAAGCGTCCCAGTGTTAATACAATATAATAATATAAATCATAATATACATCACAATAAACATGCTAAATCGGATCATGCTCTATTTACACCTTTATAAGGCGTCTTTCTTGAAGAGAAAAATAGAGGACCTAAAGGCAATCGGTTTTATGTCAATGGAAGACAGAAGACAACCAGACTGTCCTCTATGGCAGCCACCCTACCAGGGTGCGTTTTCCAGGCTGTGAGACCCTGAGCAAGCTGCGTTTGCTATTCTGGGCCTTTCCTTCCTTGTGAAATGCAGAGCATGTGCTCTCTTTGCAAGATGCTTCAGTCTCAGTGAATGAAAATGTGTCCCTCTGAATTGAGTAACAAGAAGGAAACCATGTACCAGTCTCCTGCTTTGCAACAGACATCCTGTATTACATATTAAAGATGGTGAAGGACTTCAGAGCTAACAGGGGCCTGTCAGAGCTCCCCTTCCCCAGTATGAGTTCAGCATAGCTGCTGTCTCCATTTTCCTTCATTCAAGCTGGATTTCCTAGCCTTCCTTAATAGCCACATCCCAATTTCTTTCCAGGCCCACTTCTTTTTCCCCCCCCCCCCCCCCCCCGAAACAGAGGGAAAGCAACAAACAAA